ATTAAAATATCGATATTTTAGCACTTTGCGATAAATTTGTAGTTTATCATTAACAGGAACACAGTGGAAAGAAACCATATCATTCGGATTGTCTAAATTGGAAGGAACTACTTCCTCTTACGCCTTTCATAGTCAAATGCAAAATACAACTGTATAAATGTGTCGCAGCACCTCGTGCGCACTCACAACAATGGCTGAGCATAAACGGAGTCACGTGTGGACGTATTTTACCTCCACAAACAGCCAAGACGTGGTTTGCAATATATGTAGCGAGACAGTGAGATGTTGTGGCAGCACCACTAACCTCGTATAGGACATCAGTTATCTGATGTCCTATAATCATTATGAAGCTCTATTATTATATTATTATTACAATTACATAATACAATTATATATTGTATTATGAAATACAATGAAACATTACGTTTTTGTACAGAGTACCAGTATCCGATCAGTATCGTTGATACCACCCTGAATTTTACTCGGTATCAGATCGGAAAGGGAATCAGTGGTATCGCACATCACTAATAATCACTATAAAGTTTACAGAGGCATGCATAGAATTACACTTATATAAATGTAAAGGAGTCAAAATATTCTGTTCATTGTCGATCATTTAACTAATGTTTATTTTTCAAGATATTGCTTGTATGATCGTTTTCATTTATAGTAGATGTCAGGATTAAGATATTACAAAATAAGATATCAACTGGAGACACAACATGTACAACTTTTTATTGACCCCCAGCAAAGCGTGACCTAATCAAGACATCCGGTGGTTGCCCTCATGGCTGGACTGAGTTTAGAGATCGCTGCTTTGTTTACGTTCCAACATCCATGACTTGGCCTAGAGCTGAGGTAGGTTAACTTATTTGTATTGTCTTCAACACTTGAATAAAATACATAAAATACATACATGAATAAAACTCCACTCTCCATTGAAGAGAAACTGCTTGTCCATGGACGCAAACCTCGTATCTGTGCACAGCAGCAGCGAATACCATATGATTCAGAAGATGACTGCTCCTCATGGCTACCAAACAACCTGGGTTGGAGGAACCAATGCACCAGGGGTACGTTTTTTTATCTTTACACAGTATTTCTCTTTTTGTATTAATGATAGAAGATGTTACATTTTGTCAAAAAAATATGTGAATAGAGGATCTAGGGTGGAGATGGGTTGCACTGATACAGGGACTTTTGAACTAATGCTGTGTTTAATTTCAGGAGCATATTTGGTTTTGGAGTGATGGGAGGCCTTTCCAGTACACAAACTGGTGCCCAGGAGAGCCCATTAGTGGTTCCCGTCCATTTTGCCTACAGATTAATTATAGTGGTAATTCAGAACATGGTTGCTTAATTTGTGAATAATTTAAGAGCTTTAAATAAAACACTACATAAATCAAAATTTACAATCTTGCTTTGGATCGCATCTTTAACACTTTGTGTGACATTTTACTGATTTCTGCTTTTGAACCTCGCAGATGGCAAATGCTGGGATGATGTGTGGTGTGATAATCTCCGTCCTTCTGTCTGTGCCAAGAAGAGATCAGGACTCCTGGACTGACACACATGAAATCTGAATCAAAACAGCAGACTGAACTACAATGTTTCTGTTTTGCTCCAATATCTTTATGTGCAGCATTCTATTTTCCTCTCTGTTTAACACTTAAACAACAAAATCACAAGTCAACAGAAGTGTGATTGTGTCATCAGTAGACTGATTTTACCATGTTTTTTTGTATTGTCTTCCAAGAAAACTATTCTGTTTTAATTCTTTGTTTTAAAGTTTCCTTCTTGCTACATTAAAGCTTTTGGGCAAGCATCTACCTGTGTCTGTTGTGTAGCTACATATAAATTCAATAGTCATAACATGCATTAATTTGGGGTACTTATTGAGTGGGTAATATTTACCTGCACTTACTGTTTTTTATTGTCTAGCTCAGTAATGCTGATTTGGAAATTATATGTCTTTGT